CTGAATACTGAAAAATGGCCTGGATGGGAAGGGGGTTTAACACCGCGGATGTCAACTGGTTAAGTGTGAATAGGCCCTTTTTGGACATTTTGTTTCCAAACTGAACATAGTTTTTCTAACCTTGCATAGTAAGCTTTTACATTCTGTTTCTTCATTCAGTTCTGAAATTCGCTAACATTGCTATATCCTTTGTAAAGTGCGGTGCTGAAAACTGTACCTCACATTAGATGTGTTCATACAACTGATTTATAAATACGTAGTACTATATTAGTATCGCATGCTTTTCTTTCCTCCCCTTTTCTACAGCTTCCACTTGGCACTGAGTGCACGTTCTTCAGCATTAGACTTCATTTGCCATAGAAACTATGCATTGATGTTGGCATGATTAGATCAGTGTAGTAAAGGTACAATGAAATTACAGTGGAAAAGTGCATTATTGCTCATCTGATCTTACCCAAAAGAAACCACAATTAGCTTGGATTGTGTATGGCACAAATTGCTGGCATTATGAATTTTCTTTGTATAAACCCCTTAGGCATACCCCTGTAGATGTACGAGAATGGCACTCAGAAATAGCAAATACTATTTTATTAGGTATTGCACATAAAGATAGAGCTTCATAACCTTATGAAGCCCCAATGTCCACCAATATGTTAATTATTATAAAATGGTAAAAAATCCACATAGTACAATCAATATGTATATATCTTAAACATTGCACTGCACATTTACACACATTCAACAATTTATCAGTTCACAATGTCAAACACACTGATTATGTAAATATTTCTTAGTTACTAGCCTCATTATTGACATAGTTATCTCACAGTGACTGACTGAATTAAATGGTGCAAAAGGCATAAACATTTCAGAGGATTTCACCACTCCCGAACACTCCTCCCTGTGTGCACACACCACATGGCTTGTCAGGCCCACCAGTCTCAACAGTGTGCTGCAATATCGGTAATAAAGTGTGCACATGGTAACATCTGATATATTATGAAAGGCAAACCCAATACACCCTCTCAGTGCACCTGCGTTGCAGTGCAAGACTCTAGGTAGGCAGAGTCTGCTGTTGTTAAAACCAGATATTGAAATATGTATGTGTGAACCTTAAATGATGATTGATTTTCTATATTTTAATCTATCCAAGTTTGGAGATTCAGTTTTTTACTGTACTGCTGATTTTGAGTTTACAATTGGTAATCAATCAGTAAGCCTGACAGGCAGACCTAAGTATAGTTGAAACAGTTGTTGGGAATGCCCAAAGAAGACTTGGCCTTCAAAATGAGTTTGAAGAATAAACCACATTACTCAGGACATAGACTATGATGCCCAAAATGGGATAGAAGGAGAACGCATGACTCAGCTACTAAGAGTATGGCACTCCCTTATGCTAATCAGAAAGACTTTTAAGGTAAACATCACATAGGTTATTTTAAAGTAAAAGCATGGATAAAAGGATGAGGGATGATCCTTCAAGGGACACTCATTCACTCACACACGACACACACACTCACACTCATTCACACCACACACATACACGCACAGCATCAAGCCCACACCCCCACACTCACGTTGAAATAGACAGACACCTGTTAGGATTATTTTTACTTACTAACTAAACACACGTTTCCTAAGCATCTTATAGATTTCTGCTGTAAGATATACCATATTTTGTCATCAAGCATCTTATAGACTCATTCTGTAAGATATACCATATCCTGTAATATTTTGTAACTTTAAATTAAACACATTCTGAACTTTATACAACAACGGAAACAATCATCTATTATTGAACTTTTCCACCCTATGCTTCGAGAAAAAGAATATGACATAAAAAAATCATATTTCGTGTCATTTTCTTACAGCTGTCAATCAGCCAGCTGGGTGGATCTCGACAAGATTATTGGGATCCATGCCGGCTGCGGCGCTCTCAGTATATAGCGTGCAATATACTGAGCCTTGGGTCATGGGAGGAGGTTAGTATATGTCTTCCCCATGACTAAAGAGAACTATGGGATAAAAAGGTTACCCCCTGAGTTCTCTTTTAATGATGATAGTCACATTCTTGTCAATACCATAAAAAAAAATGTTTTTTTGATGCGGCTGACTCCAATATTGTTGCCAATAACTACATCAAACTTTCATTTACAAATTAATGATAATGCTTTAGCTGTAGAGGTATATATTGATTCTGTAGTGATTGTTTTAAAACCTATATACCCATGTGTATGAAAATGTATATAATGTGTCATCCTCCTGTGCTCACCCACTATAACTAAAACTTATGGGTGCTTATATGGGCATCAGAGGGTGGAGCCAGTCTAGGGCCAGATCATCTGTCGCAGTTGAGAACTTTAGTGAAAATCTGAATTTCTTTTCTTGGTGCCTTAACATGCTTGACAAAAATGACCTAAATAAGCAGACTTGTGGGACTGAAAAGAAAAAGGGACTACTGTAAAAAAGAAAATAGCAGTTTTGACAGGTAGCTGTCAGTTTTAGTGGACATCCTTCTTTAACCAGTTGACATCCGCGGTGTTAAACCCCCTTCCCATCCAGGCCATTTTTCAGTATTCAGCGCTGCGGTACTTTGCCTGACATTTATTCCGTCATGCAGCGCTGTACTGAAATGAATTTTATACCCTTTTTTGGGGACAGATAGAGCTTTCTTTTGGCGGTATTTATTCACCACTGGGGGTTTTATTTTTTACTATATGAAGGAAAAATTACAGAAAATTAAAAAAAACAAGTTACCCCTATATTAAATGATAAAACATTTATTATTACCCAATTTTTTTCTAAAATATAAAAGATGGGGTCACGTCGGGTAAAAAGACACCAAACATGTCAAGTCTTAAAATTGCGCGAAACCTCAAACTACAATACCCAAAATTGGCCATTGGCTTTTTACCGCTCATCAGTTTAGTGTTATCAGTAAATGATGGCCCTAAAATTATTGCTCACACTCCAACGTTTGCGGCGATATGTACTTATGTAGCGCAATTGTCATTTTTGCGCGCTGACGCATCTGATGCATATTTACGTTTATATGTGCGTAAACATGGGGGTGGGGGACCTAAACATTTTGGGGTTTTTTTTATGTGACTTATTTTTTTAAACTTTTTTTATTTATATTTTTTTACACTTCTTGTTATTGCTATTATATAGGGGGATAACAATCCCCCTATATAATAGCAAAGGCACACTGACAGGTCCTCTTTATGGAGACATTAGGGGTCTCTAGGACCCCTAGTGTCACCTGGGGACCCCATAAGAAGCTGATGAAGCAGAGATCTGCTTCATCAGCTTCATTTCTCTGGCTATAGCAGCTAGATGACTGACAGGTGAATGCGAAATTTGATGTAATACACATCACTTCTGCATTCAGACCTCGGAGGGAGACAGCAAAGAGGAAGATGCTGATCTCCCTCCCATCTTACCTCCTGACGCCCTCCCGAGCCGCATATGGGCTAGCGGATCCCGGGATTGAATGGGAGGGGTCAGGAGGGGTGCTGGCAGCGGCGGCACTCGAGGGAGGGGCCAACAAATCACACCATACAACCGATCGGCGGCTATAGAGCCCCTAATCAGTTCTATGTGAAACACCCGGTAACGGCTGTAAAGAACAGGCAGGTTTTTCCTGCCCGTGCGCACACGCCAGGAGCCGCGCAAGCAGGCAAAAAATGCCGTCTAATGACGGCAACCCGCAAATGTGAGTCTGCCGTCCGTCCGTTTTTTCTCAACGGGTGGACGGCAGGAGGTTAAACTAAGAAGAAAGATCTAAATATTCCCTTTCAGAATGTGATCAGATGACATCATTTAAATCTGACCAATAGTCTGACTACATCTATCAGGTTGTTTGAAGGACATTTTTCATCAAAAACCCATCAAAACTGTAGCATGAACATGAACAGCAAAAACAAAAAGCTTTCAAAGGAAATACCCAATGTTGTCATGCTATTATTACCATACATAAGCACTGCTGTGAGTTGAGCTTCCTTTTTGGGTAATGGCATGATGCAACCCTAGAGATGGAATGTATACATTGTGGGGGTACAGCTCAAATGGGGATCACCTTCCCTGGGGCAAAAAAAGTAGTCCAGGCAGCAAAGTCCTTCTTTTATCTGACTTGCAGTCAGTTTTTATTTAAAAGGTTGCAATAGAACAAAATAAACCAGAAAACAAATCCTTGCCTTTCAGGCTCTGACTAAACAGGCAGGTTTCCTCTCTACCAGGTGGTGAGCTTATCTCAGCCACCTCACAAAACAAAAGTACTTTCAGCAACCTTTTACTCACACACATCCACCTTCTACCTCTCTCAGAATGCTGTCTGAGTCCCAGGCCAGAGCAGCATCATGCTCCAGCCTTCCTCTTTTATCTCACCTGGAGAATCAATCACTAATCAATTAAACAATCCAGGTGAGAGAAAAAAAAACCCCAAACTGGATTACCCAGATCCAAAGTCTACCCGAAAACCTGTCTGCTAGCCTTGTACATAGGATAGAAAGCGAGGGGAAATATATCGCCCCCCTCGATGACTTCCCTTTCCTTATGTCACAACATTCATATGCAAGTGAACCACTGCAATATAGGTCCTATGTGTTACAAGAATTTGTATACATTTACTTTCCTCATGTTCTCTGAAGTATAATCTCTTTTTCTGTCCCATACCCATACTCCCAGAGTGCAATCAGTGCAATAACCACATGTAAAAGCACAAGTGACTGGTTTAGCAATTAGCTATTCAGAAACAGGAGAACAATGAGGGGCAGAAGAGGTGGGATCCTCCTATATATTGCCCACTGTGATAATAGAGTATCGGAGGTATGAACAAATACATTCTTCAGTATCACAATCTTCTTGCTACAGTGAGTGAATTGTTAATCTCCCCCTTACTACTTTTTCAGAATGTACATAAGTATGAAATGTTCTGTTAATTGAACATCACTTACTTTGCTAATACAGGTTAAAAATGCAGTTTTATAAAAGACATCTTTCTCTCTAATTTACTTCTAATCATTTACTCTCTGCAATTATAATAAACAGTTACAACTCAAACACTTGGCAATTTAGCTATAAAAATAATAGTGCAATACTGATGTAGAAATCCCCGTTGTTACTTACAAAACCTCCTTTTTTAAAATCGGACAAAATAGTGTTTGCATTAGCTTATAGGTTTGTAACAAATTTCCATGATTGTTTTTATACATATCAAGTAGTCTGTGTGGCCTGTCTGGACCAGTTTGACGCAGTTGTTTGCAGTACCGTCAGTCCAATCCCTTAAAAGCGACCTGACTTGCCAAATAAAAAGACTGCTATGTGGCATGACATTGTCATACATGTAAATGTTATCTCTCTTTGCTGGAGCTAGGATTGGTATACAGTCTTAAGGCTTTTCTGCAAATGAGCCAAAACCAGTATATCTGTGGAGCCATAATGGTGGCATTTATAATGTTACAGTGCAGAGGAATTTTGAAAGGTACTTTATACAATGGAATCCCAAACTGCTTCCCGTAGGCATTGTACATAAAAGGAAAAAGCAGGATGCGGCAGATTAAAAACGTTAGGAGCACAAGTGCGCCATTTACTTTATGCATGAAGGAGTTCTGCAAATTCATCTGTTAACAGAAAATAAAAATAAATTAGTGTTTTTCAATATACTTCATTATTTATCTATTTGCTTGGTAATTATAATGCCAAATAGAAACGACATCGCACTAGATTAAAAAAAACACTCCATGTGAAAAAAAAGAGTTAAAGAACTCTCACTGGAAGCTGAAAAGGGCTTGTTAAACCCCCTAGGGGACCCAGTGCACATAACACTTGTCCCTATTAAAGTCTATGCAGTAGTTTGGAAATAAAATGTCATGCTGAGTGTAGCTCCACTCTCAGACCTAAGCCCAAATTATGGGTGTTCCTAGAGCTGAGGTACAGCCAGCACTGAATCCACAACCTACTCTCCATTCTGCAGCCCTCTGCCTCCTCTTTTCCTTTTGTACTAATGGAAGGTTGAACCCACAACCATCCACAGCCACCAGCTAGTTCAGAGGAGATTGCTACAGTTATAACTATTGGCTTGGCTTGTTGTGAATGAACTACAGCGGAGAGCCATCATTCACAAAAACACAAGGCCACATCAGGTACCGCACCTCTCTTGGACAATTTAGTAGCCGACTTGTGTTGTTGTGGGTTTGTGTTTTTATGAATTATGGCTCTGCAGCTGCCGTCATTCACAATAACCCAAGCAGACTCCTGTAGTAATCTTTTCCGAACTAGCGGACAGCTGTGGGATTTTGTGGGCTCATTCTTTTATCAGTGCAAAGGAACCAGAGGAGGCACAGGGCTGCATGGAACCTTCAGATAAACACAAACAATTTTATATAGTTATATATCCATTTTATATTATGCACTTTTATCATTATTAAACAGTAATTAGTATTTTTAAGTGTGACTATTGTAAGTTCCTGAATCTGTATTATTATAAGACTCTCTGCCCTGCAACATGCGCATGTGCAAACAAGGAACATGCTAACAAGAGGAGAACAATGTCCTCATCAGTGTATTCCTACTGCTTCATTGTCTAGTCAGAGGTTGGGGGCAGGGATGTGACCAAGCAAACTGTTGGCGCTATATAAATCCTGTATAATAATAATACTAATGAATAGGGGGTGGAGAACTCAGTTGTAATATACACACATTGCTTGCAGAGCACAGAGGTGGCCATTTTCATCAGGATATCGAGAGGAAAGCTAACAAAAAATGTAAGTTTCTGTGTTCATATACAGCAACTGCATATGCCTGCTTCATGTTTACTCGGCGTACATTGCTGGAATATTTTTCTAAAAATACCTCTACAAATGTGGAAATAGGTTTTAAATACACTAAAGGAAAGTAAGAACACAAATTTTGCTTTGCTGGGTGAAAGGGCTGTGTACATCTAAGGACCAGCCAAACACAATTACAAATCCTTTAGCAGATAAAGCGTCATATACACATTTCAATTGTGTGCTTAACTGTTTGTGAATATGATTCTCCCTTATGTTAACAGAACTAGATCTTCCATTGGCTTGGCCCCATTGACCTCTAAAAGTCACTAATTAAATCAGAGAATAGAGTTTTGTTTTCAGTGCCAATTATTTACTAAGAATTGGCATGTATTCATATAGTTGAAAAATAAAGCATTGAGAAATTATTATTTTAGGTCTTGTCGCCTTGGTAGATTACTCATGCTCCTGCGGCCCGACTCAAGACCTTTTACACATTTAGCTCACTAAAGCCAGGTGGCACCTCTGGCAGACCGCGCTTTTCTTCCTTTTTCTCTGTCTCCCCCTCTCTTGTTCTTTTCTCTTTCTACTATCCTTACTCTTTCTCCCACCCTCTTCTTCTTCTTCTTTTCTCTTTTCATTCTTTCAGCTCTTTTTTTCCCAGACACTACAATATTTGTGCACTATATAATTCCCTTTCCTTTAAGAAGTAATCTTTCTTGCCAAATTGTTAACTCATAATTCATACTACCATGTTCCTTATGGACTTTATCAGGACGATTACCATTTCTGTATTGTTTCCTCTCACTTAGGAAATGAATGCCATGTGTGAATTGTTTAACAATGTCTTGTTCATTCTCTTCTAACTTGTATTGTGCCTTATCTCTACAACCTTAATTGTGAATACAATCTCTATTGTTCCTTGTATTCTCCTGTTTAACAAAACTAACAATTGTAAAAGCAATTTAAAGCATAATAAGGATCTGTGAATACAAACATACCAAGGTATAGGTCAGCTAAACTCTACACGTTTAAAATGAAACATAATAGCTAGAAATATGTAAGAAAAACCAAGAATGTACCTGTATTAAAACTTTTGCGAGTGCTACAAATGGAGTACTCATTTCTGCCACAAACAGGCAGCCAACAAAGAAATCTCCAATGTTTCTTCTTAAAAACTGTAAAATGAAAGAAGTAAATAGATTTATACTGAGTCAGGTGAACTGTTAATGATAATCACTGATTATTGCACCGAAATCCAACATTTCAGCTATGGTGGGAGGTCAACAGCATGAATCATCTGTAAGCAACTTGAAAAGAACCTGTCACGGATTTCCACTATAAAAGCTATCCTGACCAGTAAAAGAAAAGAAGGGGTTAATGGCTGCATGTTCAATTTTTTTTTTCCACGTTTGTCCTAAAGCCCAAAGCTGAGCTGCTTAATATGCAAATCTTGAATTCCTGTTAAGTAATCTAAGCCATGCTACACCCCAAAGGCTCTCCATACATGTTAAAATCTGACCATACAATACATTTTAGATTTACTAAAAAATATGCAATATGGGGACATGACTAAACTATCCAATGAATGTGTATCAGTTCCGGCAGGCCCTTCATAGCAGTCACTGCACAGTTGTTGGGCGGACAGAAGGACATTCTACTACCAGATCGTAAAGTCTGGTGAGCTTTACCACAGCATTCTGAGTCACATAGCTGTTTAGTGCACATCAATGTGGGATTCAGGAAGGGGATAGGTGAGGCTTAAAGCTCATCTTATAAATACAGATGAAAAATGGCAGATTGAGGTTTTCCAATGAGCTCATGAAATGAAAGGATGGTACATGCAAGCATCTCAGTGACCTCTTTACTTTTAAGGTTTTCTTTTATAGGCTGAATTCCACTTAAAGGAGAACTATGGGGTCAGGGCTTTTCCCCATAGTTCTCCTTAGGGTAACATTTCAGATATTTCAAGAATGCCACAGTCCGTTCTCTGCTCAAGAATTTCCTGATACTTCCCAGGCCACAGCTATAATGGCACAGGCCAAGCCAACTCATAATCACTCCCATGTACAGTATGTATTTCAACAGTATATTTAGCTATTAGCCTTCAGTTTAGCTTTAAAGGACTTTTGTGTGTCAATCACATTTTAAATAATTACAAAATATAGCAGGAAACAAGATTTTTAAAATATAAACATGCACTGTTAGGATTATTTACATCAAGCTGATCTTTTTTTTTTTACTTGTACAGTACCCAAATTGAAGATTATGTTTTCCTACATACTTTCTTAAAGTGACGCAAAACTCAGGAGCTAAATCTTATAAATGCATTCAAGTACTATTATCAAACATGTAGCTTTATTTGTGCACCACTCAGCTGTAGATCCTTAAATAATTTCTGAGTTCATGCTGACACTGTCCATCCTTCTGGAGGGTGATTACTTTTGTTCCCCATGGCACCTGTGTGTGTGTGTGTGTGTGTGTGTGTGTGTGTGTGTTGCAAAGTAGCCACCGATGCAAGCTCACTGCTGTAATGGACTACAATCTTATGTTTAGTTTTACTCATTTGTATTAAGATTGTAGTCCATCATGGTAGAAAGCTTGGGGTGGTGGCTACTTTACAACACACACAGGGACCATGGGGAACAATAGTAGGCACCCTCCAGAAGGAAGGACAGGGCCAGCACCAATTCAGAGATTATTTGAGGATCTACAGCCGAGTGATACACAAATAAGATACATTTTTGTTATTAGTTAAGGTAGCTGGATGCATTTCTAAGATTTAACTCCTGAGTTTAGTGTCACTTTAAAGCATGTGCACAGGAAAGTAGCAGCAGTACAGCAGCAAGACTTCCCTACCACTGGCCTTGTCTCAGGAAAAATGACAGCAATCCGCTGAAAAAAAAATAACCTAGCCAACCATCTTACAAGGTGACTAGCTGGAGTTGTTCACATAAGGGGGAATCCAGCCCAAACATTTTTTTTATTTGGTTCCTGACAGAGGAGAAGGGTTAGAAACTCAGTAAAGCTTTAATTCCTGTCCATAACGGGTCTCCATTACAGAGTAAGTGACAGTGTCACTACAACTTAGTGGATACTCCAATGGAATATATAAGGAATGCACTCCAGGCAAGATAACAGGAAGTTGGTGTCATCTGGACAAATCATGATGGGAATCTCTGTATTCTGACTGAGACAGAGGGGTCCTTTTTATTTTTTCAAAGTCCACCACTCCCTCCTGCTCTTGCGGTGCATGACCCTAAGCTACCATCCATAATTATGCTTGTTCAGGTTCCTTTGATCCCCCTCACTACCATCTAGTGGAATTGTCCCACTTACTTTAAGGGTCTGTACACTTCAATTTTTCCTTAACCCCCTTTCTCTTGATTGATATGCGCCCCCCTTTCTCTTGATATGCACCCAAGTATTCACACAGTTTAGTCGCATAGGCCTTTTTTCGATTTATATATTATTATGCCAGTTTTTTTTAAATATATGTTCTGATTACAGTAGCTTCAGTGGCTGCCCAGTTACGCTCTAGATCCATGACTGTCCTTAAAAGAAATCAAGGTTCTGGCATGTGTGGTGGCAACTTGTGGCTTTGGGAGGATTGAAATCAAGGTTCTGGTTCTGTGTGGTGGCAACTTCTGGCTTTGGGAGGATTGCATGCACACAAAATAACCGAAAACCGTTACCAGTTTCTCTTTATCACTTTTCTTTTAATGCAGGTCAGAGCTGTATTTCAGTGCCAACTCCTTACTACCTGCCAGTGCCAATCCTTTATGAGAGGTGTGGTTCTTAATTCAACCATTACCATTTCACTATCCTGGAAAAAGACCTATTTCACAACTTGCACAACTGTGGTCTAAAGGACGGGAATTGGTCTGCAGATAGGTGACATACAGTTCAACCCATTAAACACTGTACAAAAATTTTATTTTTTCCTGGCAAACTGGCTGCTGTGGCAATGTATTTACTTTAACAAGTCAGTGATTTGGACCATGAAACTAAATTGCAAGATCATGTAACAACGATATTACTTCAGCATCTTCACTGGGAAAAGCATACACCTTCAGCTGGTCACATATTTTAGTTTTGCTCTAACCTGTCAGATTAAATAAACTCAAGAAGATATAAGCAGTGCTAGGACTTTACCTACAGATTTAGTTTGAACACATCTAACCAAGGCTTCATATTCACATTGTTGCTTGCAAATTTTGCTGAACTGGCAGGTCAAATCAGAAACATCTGTCTGTATATGGCCAGAACTAGTTTATAACATAACACAATTCATAAGTAGCAAAATATTTTTACCAGTCCTATAGGAATAAGGATAGTCAAGATGGCTGTGTGATGAACCAGCAAGAGGAAATCTTTCCGTAGTAAGCTGTTTATTGCGGCAGAAAAGTGATCTTTCCCATTTGACGTGCTTTTGTCTCTACATTTGTACCAGTGACGAAGATACATTGCGTAAGTATCATACACCATGTATGGGATTATGAACCAAATATAAGATGTAGCCAGCCAATGCCTGAAAAAGAAAAGTAAAATATTAGCTTCATATTCTACCATCAACAGTAACAATAAAAGAAAGGTTTACACACACTTATTTAGTATAGAAATTCTTTGTGCATACCTGTTAAAGTGAACCTGACATTGCACTATAATTTTACTAGCAATACAGAGAAAGCAAAAGTGCTACAGACTATAATACACTTCTGTGTGCAGTCTCAACTAGCCTGTCAGAATTAGAGAAAAAATGATTAGGGGGTGCTAAGTTCTAGAGCTGTAGCTAACGATTATTTTCAAAATCGATTAGTTAGCCGATTATTGAGTTCGATTAATCGGTTAATCGGATAAAAAATAAAATACATTTTTAAAAATGGCTCCAGTGATGGGACTACTAGTTTGTATTGAGATTGTAGTCCATCACAGGAGCAAGCTTGGAGCGGTGGAAGTAAATAAGAAAAAAAAAAGTGTGGTGTGCAATATAGTGAAATAAAGTGTAAAATGATACAGCAATGAATGCAGAATGGCACCGGCTAATTCAGATGTATGCAAAATTATCAAACAATGTGGTCAGGCAGTGAGGAAAGCAAATACAATTCTAGAGGGATAACCAGTAGGAGAAAACAGGTCCTGATTCCACTATATAAAGCTGTGTCCCTCCTCTTTCCCCCCAACCTCCAAACGAAGAGGAAACTGTAGGCACATAGACTGAACAGAGCCAAAACTGAAGCATAAGTGCGCTATTAGTGTACCTATTCTTTACATGCCCCTCTAACCTAGTTCTGTTCCACCATAAAATACAGATTCCTATCATATTCTTATGATCTGTGCTATACAGTCTGCTCAGTTTTACACAGCCTTCTTTAAAATATTCTCAATCCTAAAACCTGCCCCTCATCCATGCCACAAACTCCAATTACATAAATGGAAATCATAGCTGGTCAACAAGGCGAGACAAGGGGGGCAGCTGCTCTGGATGCAGTGTTTTTATGCTTGCCCCTTCTTTCATTTTCCCTCTGGCTGGTCCAGAGCAAGGCGACCAGCAGAGCTAGAGAAGACAGGGCAGGAAGGTCCCATGACATGACTGCACACTTCAAGGTCCAGGTGAAACCCAGTTGGCGAACGCAGAGCTACACAGTGATGTCATGGGACCTTCTTTGTCTCTGTCTGTGTCTCTGGGTGTTCTCTGTCTGTCTCCTTGCGCACTTCAGGGTCCATGTGAAACCCAACTGGCAGACCGAGAGCTGCTAAGTGATGCTAAGGCTGGGTTCCCACCTAGGCGGTTTTCCGCGCTTTCGTACTCGCGGCAAACCGCTCAAGCAGGGAAATGCCATTATTTTCAATGTGTATGGTTCCCATCTGTGTGGTTTTCCGCGAGTACGAACGCGCGGGAAACCGCCCTACGCCCAAAGAAGTACATGTACTTCTTTGGGGCGTTTTGGTCGGGCGGTTCCATAGGGATACAGCCATGTATCCCTCGGAAACGCGCGTTTGCCGCACGTTTTTTTTACCACGAATCGCGGTTAAAAAAACGCGCGGAAAACGCGCATATTAAATCCGCCCAGGTGGGAACCCAGCCTTAAACAAACACAGTGGCAGTTGGGAGTGGGATACCAGCTGCAGAAGATGAATGAGCACACAAATGGTGGGAGGACACAGTTTGGCATCTTCACCCTAGGCACTGGATGACCTTCATCTGGCACTGCTTGTCAACGTGTTGTTGGGGTTTCCAATTCAGCCAAGGACTGCAGGACTGGGAAGAGTCTGAAGAAAGGCAGGCCAGTGATTATTTTCCAGGGGCTGCCTTTCAGGTAAGTATGGTATATTACAGAAATGCTGGAGAAGGGCACACACTTTAACTTGAATTTTCATGTACTCAAAATAAGGCAAACGGACTATTTGAAATTACTGTGCTTTTACAAACTGACACCAGAGACATTTCAGTCTCCACCCTTATCAGCCTCTTTATATCTATAGAAAATCCCTTGTGATGCCACTACTTTCATGTAATTTACTCTAGTGTATACTGAAAGTATAATTAATGTGAAAACAACACCTGAAAATTAATTTTAGAAGCATCACGCTGCCATTTGGCATAACATACATAACAATAATTACATCCCTGAAATGATTTGTAAGCAAGATTAAGCTGATGAAACTTGAATTATTTCATGATAAATAAATTAATTATTTCAATGGAATGTAATCTGAATTGCATATCATGTTTGCTGGCCTCTTTTCTAGAATGTCAAGAAGCTAAGTGGAGCCAAGAAAACAACAACAACATGCAATACACAAATGCAAATGCTGCCTCATCTTCCTATCCGCTACCCACTTCATTTCAACAGATTGCAGGATTTCAACAGTGAATTGGCCAAAAAAAAACGGGCGATGTACTGCACATGCGTTTTATGCGCATAAAAACGTGCAGAAAAGTGCAATAAAAAAATTGGTGCTTCTACACGTGAAAAGGCTGTCGCCTAGGTGTGAGTCTGGACTGTCTGAAACATACTGTCGATCAGGAGCAACATCCAAATATCCTACAATGAGAACGCCCTGGGAGTGCAACAAGGTTAGCACAGGAGCTAAAACCTTTTGTGAACATTCGGGATGCTGAGGACATGCCAAATAGTAGGACTACAAACTGGTAGTGTTGAGCACCCATAGCAAAGGTAATGTCGGCGTGGTAGAAAGATAGGGACATGCAAGAAGGCATTCTTGATGTGCACAGAGGACAGAAACCCTCCTTGATGAACAGACACTATGAGAGACTTGGTGGATTTCTTGTAAAACTTTTGGAATCGAATGAAGACATATAAGTCCAAAATGAGGCAAATGCCTCCTTTTGGCTTTGGAACAGTGAAAATGTTGGAGTTATAACACTGAAACCTTTCTGCATTTGGTACAATGACTATAACACCCTGGGCCAACAGATCTGCAAGAGCAGCATGGAGATCTCCTACTCTGTGTGGAGACACAGGTTGGCCAATGTGAAGTGGGGCGGGTGCAAAATTCTAACTAACTTGTAGTCCAAGGGACATTACATCTTTCCCCCAGGCATCTGAGATGCTTTTTTTCCAAGTGTCGTGAAGGCTAACAGATATTCCAAAGTGTCTTTTCATGCTGAGGAGGACTTGTCTGAGGCCTTAATTGGGATTTTTGGGCTCATAAAAAAAAATCTCCATCAAAAGGTATGTGAAGCAAGTGCTTTTTACATACCTGTTCTGCAGACCAACATTTCTGCCAAAGAGTTTCTGCATATTAACAGAGATGACACTCATTTTGTAATCTCGACAAGCAATGTACACTAAGCCATCCAAACAGTAGTGTGGGGCAGAAGGTATAAACTCTAAGCATTCATAAGTGAGAATAGTAGCTAGATCCCGTGACATAAGTTGAATCCATTTCCCTAAGGTTTAACAGGCTGATATCAAAGCAATGATAGGCTGCAGAACAAGACCTGCTAGGGAAAACAAAGATTTGGAAAGCGCTTCCAATCTTTTGTTATTAGTATCCTTGAACCCTGGAACATCCTCTACAGAAACAGTGCTTTGTTGAGTAATAAAATCGCAATGAGGACAGCCCACTTTTTCATGAAGGACTCATAAAGCAGGTAGTGCTCAGAAAAAAAAAAAGGAGTAAACATTTTATCAGGATTTTCCCAATCACCATATAGAACATCCAGGAGTAAGGAATGCACCGGAAAGGTTTTAAAAATGTTCAGACTTCACAGAAATCCCAGACTAGTGACAACAGTTGTAGAGGCAATAGGCTGTTCCATATTTAAAGCATCTCACACCGCATCAAACAGAACCAATATGGTATCTTTAATCCTGGGGGTATTGATAGCTGACTACTTCTGGTGGGGAAGGCGTAGATGTAAGCTTACAGCCTCTGAGAGTAGACAGAACGGGGATAGGTATAAGACTCCAATTCATTAATTTGCACAAAGAATATAAAAATATAAAAAGGTGACAGAGACTTGGCACTGAAGAAGTGTCACTGCTCTGCACCTGTAGTGTGCTCTGCGGAAAACTTAACACAGAGCAAGTGTCTAGAAAGCGCCATAAGCAGAGCTATTGAATGTAGGTTACGCAGTGAGTCATCAGAGACAGGGTCACCCCAAAGGTTGTACCACGGCTATGTACCTGTGGCTAACTAACTTAGGACAAGGTTTGGGAAGCATCACAAGCAGAGCCCAGTGCTCGAAGGTCACACTCCAGGCAGGCTCCACAATCTTCGGTCTACTGGGATCCCGGTATGACTGTTTCTCTGGCTATGATTAGCCAATCAGAATAGCTGCTGAAAGAGCCACCACCCAGCAGCAAGTAGATGAAGACTTGATTACAACAACAACAACAACACAAATCTCGGTAAAAATAAAATGGCTAGTAGAAATGGTTAAATGTTCCCAAAAAGAGAAAAGACATCCATCCTTCTAGGGCACTAGCAAAAAATGTACGCATTATGGCAGCGGGAGGAGATATACCTGGCTGGCCAACGACATTTTGTTTGCCAGTGTCCAATTCCTCCTGTAGGCGGCAGTATAACCTGCATATCTCTCAAATACTGATTCCTTTGTCCCTTAATGAATGAAAAAGAAATGCATTTACTGCTTATTAGTAATATGTAAATATTTCAATGTCCATTGCCTTGCCAAAGTTCTACTCTAAAATATTAAATCCAGCCTATAGCCAGAGACTAACAACAGTTCCAAAGTATACATCTTACACTGTACAGTACCAATACCTTCCAACTTTCTGAAGAGAAAAAAGGACATCTATCAGCATGGGAGCACAGGACAAACCCTTGGCACACCTTTTGTTACATGGACCATGATGTATAAATATGCATGGCTGCTTAAACCCAAGTGTTTTTCTTCACATCTACTTTTCGTTCATACTGGCTTTTCAAAGTAACAGTTGCAAAAATATGGAGGTTGGATGAAAAGTTTAGTGTGCTATATTACACGTGCTAGTTAAATAATACATTTTTTATTTAGGTCTATAGATCTGACCAAAGTGAGGAGGAAAGAGGGACAAAGGGATTTGGCTCCAAAAGAGGAACATTCCCTCCAAATGAGGGATAGTAGAGAGCTATGGGCACGATGGCTCCAAGATGGCTTGGAATAGGGTGCAATCCCCTATCAGGTAACATCTACCCCCACCCTTGGCACAGTCATGATATGCATTTCTAAGGTCAGGCTCCGTCAATCGGCAATAATCATAATAATAACCATCAAGTTATGAAATCAAGTAACAAGTAATATTATAGTTTACTCATTCACCTGTCAAATTTCACATCTTTGCAGGATGTAATAACAATGATGCCAGAGACAGCAGCAAGAACCCCTTGGACAGAGGAGACTATTCTGAAATGTAGAGAAAAGACAACAGTTAGTGAAATATAAAAATACACAACACATTTTTTTTATTTATATAAAAGGTACAAAACACAAGACAATAATATTGCCCTAACCAGTGCATCCCTGTAGCTACATAGTACACAAACATGTATGCTTGACTAAGATGAATGTGTGCTCCAATTCCATAAACATTAGTTTCCCTTTCCATGTCTATGACCACATTATTTGGAAGACAGCTAAACTATCAGTTCCTTTCTGGACTGTTGTGGAATACAGGATCTTGAGGAAAGGCATATATGTAATGTTTACATTTTGCATGGTAAGTCAACCCGTATGACTTTCTGATTCATCAATCTGTGTTTGATAATCACCCAAGTCCTACTCCATAGAAGCCACTGATTTTCACACACTGTACTGAAGATGGCCAACAAGCCTGCAACAGTTCTATACAATTTGGAATAAATGCCTCTATAATATTATACTGTACACTGAGTGGCCACAATATTATGACCACCCCATCAGTACTTCGTTGAGGTAAGTCGGGCCACCTCGTGACTCCACGAGATGTTGAAAGGTGATGCGAGGAATCTGACACTGCACTGTTGCCCTTCTGTTGTCTTGTACCAGTCTTGCCACTCTCCGTTCTGCCCTAACATTGACTAGTCGCTGACGGCCACAATTCGCACATTCAGACCCAGATTGTCGTCTGACAGTCCAGTCTTTAAACACTTTAACAGCTGCTCGAATTCTGCTGTTTTGCTGATTCTCGATCCATGGCTTGAGCGCCAACAATCATCCCAAGTTCAAAGGCTGTTAAATCGCGTTGTTTACCCGTATCTTCAGAAAAAAATCACTTCTACTGTCGTGGTAAACAACCTGCTTCCCTATTTATAATGGTCTGGCCCTCTAGCAACTTCAGCGCAAAATTATAGCTAATTTGCCTACAAACATCAGGGGGTCATAATAATCTGGCCACTCAGTGTATATGCACTATAAACCAGTAGTTCTGCATGTACAGTTAGCCATTTCGGGAACAAGAAACTGTTGCATAGTTTCACCTACTATCCTAAAATTAGGACAAATCCTGTTATTTATAAGATACAGTATGTGATAGAATGTAAATAACCTCTGTTCTAAAAAGGCTTTACTGCACTATGCCGTGTTTTGGGTGGGGCTTTGGCTTCTTTCATTCCACCTCACCATAACCTTCTGGGCTATACTTTCTTGATAAGCAGATCATAAAAAAATCCTACACTTGAATTTGCATCATCTTTGCATCATATCACTGTAGAACAGCGTTTCACAACCCGTGGGTCGCGACCCCGTCGCAACGATTTGCCAGGGGTCGCCTAGCGGCTCCTGGCCGCCCGGGAGAGAAGCACTTTCTCCCGGAAAGGTTTACTCTGCTCGATCGAGCAGAGTAAACCTTTCTCTGCTCCGTTTTTTTTTTCTGACATCGGGGCCGCGGGCCGTCGTAAGTCAGAAAAAAAAACCCACCATAGGAATGCATAGCTAGATTCCTATTGGCTATTTCACTTTGCAATAGCAAACTAGCTATTGCACCCGCCCTCTGCTGCTGCCAATCAGAGGAGGGGGACCTGAAGTTCTCCATCAGGTCCCCTTCTAGTGATTGACAACAGCAGGGGGCGGGTGCAATAGCGAGATTGCTATTG